TATATGGACTAACCACTGACTATAAGGTCAGTGGTTCGAATCTCGTACAAGCCTGATTTTTTTCAGGTCTGATTTTCGCTATTGCATAAATAGCGCTCTCTACTGCGAGGATCGTGCATCATAAGTAATTTTATTTATATTATCTTCTAGCGATCTAGTATAATACTATTTTATTTCTGAATAGTGGATGAAAGAGCATTGGACATCAGAGCCCAAGTATGCTAAACATGTGGTGAATGGTAGTTTATGTTCTATCCTCAAGTATCTCAGTGAGGTATGTCATAGATTTGGTAATGATCCTCCTTTTCTTCTCTCGAGTTTCATAAAAAAATTGTGCAGTGGTTTGCTAGGATTATTTTCTATTAACTAAGCTTGCATCGTCTATTTGGCTGGAAATCACCCCAAGCTTATTTTTTTTCTTGCATTGTTATGGACTTCAACCCTTTAACTTCTAAGATCTGATAATAAATTCTCCTCTCTAGCTGCCAGAGATTTCCTAGTAAATTAGTTACAAGAGTTTGGTGTTAAATCAAGATGATAACTTCTACCTGAGTGATAAGGTTGAGTATTCTCTTCACCTATTTTCTGGAGAATCTATGTATAATACAGGGAGAAGTTACATATTAATCACTTCTGGCAGTTTAAAGGGTTAATCCAGTGTCTCAGTCCATATAAGTGCAAACAAAAACAATTACAGCTTTTTTATTGCTAGAAGTAAATGTAATTTTCTTGAACTTTAGGTTGAACAGTTGTGTCCCAGAAATTATAAAGGTCCTAAAAGACAACCAGAGGTTGAGAAATGTGTCATTCCATCTGATTCTGCATTCCCTCACTGCAGTGAAAAAGTTAAGGTACTGCATGGTATTTGTTAACCTGTTAACCCATAAGAGTGACTGCTAGCATCAAATTTCACCCCACAGCATTACCCCTGAATTAAAGATAAATGTCATAAGAATAAATAATAAATTGGGATGAATATGCTAGGTATACCTTTCTACAACATCAAGAAATGGGTAGATATTCTAGTCTTCTTGGATAGGGACAAATAAATGGAGGTCCCGCCTCCTGTAGGGTTAGGGGTAGGAGACGTTAACTTCCCATGCACAAGATTACTGTGTGATGGATGTCCTCCCCTGGGGTGGGTTGGGGTTGGTTTAGGTGGGTGAACCTAGTAGGGGACTTCTTGTCCTATAGTTCTCTCACCTGTACACTGTACGAATCTATAAAAACTCAAAACTCAAAAGGAAGTGATCATCAACTAATAAAAGAAGTTCTTGATTGGTAAACAAATTCTCCTTGTCAGCACCTTAGGAATGTGTAGAGATCAGTATGGAGAATATGCATACTGTGAGGGTGTAGAGGGTAATTGCATTAAGATTACAAAGTGGTACAAATATTATGAACTTAATGCGTGTTTTACATTAAATGGTTTGAATCTGGAAGGAATTTTCAATTGTCTTATACAGTAAGAGTAGGGTAGTTCTGCGCAGGGGATGGCAATGGATAAAAGGTTTGTCCAACCTTGCAGGATTGGGCCAGGAGGAGGGGAAGGACCTGTGCTAAAGGCTGATTCAGAGCCAAAAAAAATTAATAATAACAAAACTAAGAGTTTATGTTCATGGGCATACTGTAAATCCTCTACTAAGCCCCCCGTCTTTAGAGAAAGAAAGTTATTAAACTCCCTCCCTCTATTATGCCCCCCCTCTCCAATTAGCACCCCCCACCAGAACAAAAAAAAAGTACCTGAAATAAATAAGCCCCCCAGGAGCTTATTAGAAGAGGATTTATGGTAGATGCATTTTTGGGCTGCACTCAGACTCATTTTAACCTGAGCTGCTATGGAGGGGTTAAAATTTCTCTGAAAAGGACCCAAAACATATATCTGCTCAAGAACAGAAGCTCTATTACTATTGGTATCACTTTGGAGGTCATTAAGATAACAAAAGTGAAAAAAAATGCCAAGACAACAGTCTGAACAATCATGTTAGGGTGTTAGTGGGCAGATACATAATTATTTGCATGTCAAAATCTCCATTTTAGCCTGCAAAATGCACCACAATGCCCAACAAAGTGATAATTGTTTATAAAAGTTGTTTTTTGTGATCCTGAATTCTCTTTGTGTTTGGTATTACTGCTGTGTGATCAGTGGATGCAGAAGTTCTGGCAGTCAGACACGAAGTATACCAGTCATGGGGTGGATGGAAGTATTTGCTCATTTCTGAAATATCTTAGTGAGGTATGAATATTTATTTATAGTAATAGATAAATAATAGTATGTATGGATTTAAGATTGATCTAGGTACATCACTAGCTGATAGTATTGTCAGTAATGACTGGAAAATCTAGTCATTGCATGAGGTATACAGAGTGTGGCAGATTGCAATGTAAAGAAATTTGAGATGAAAATGTATCAAATTAATTTGATGAAAGGCAGCAGTGTTTAATTATGAATTTTGTCGCTGTCTGGTCAGGTGGAGAATTTCTGTCCTCTACGTAGAGG